TAGTCTTTTCTGTTTATTTTTGTGCTGACTTATTGATGCTTCTAAATATGGAAAATTTGGATTCGACAACCTAGGAATCGACATAGCAACGAGAAGTTTTGTCAACCATGATGACTGTATACAGGGTGTTCAGCTACCACTGGGAAAAATTTTAATGGGAGATTCTGGAGGCCAGACTAAGACGAACATCAAGAATACCAATTTGTTGATTGAGGCTTCGTTAAAAAGTTATTAACGTTTAAAGTTCCATACCAACTGGAAAATTTTTCGGCGAAGTTAAAAAATTTCGAATCATTCTGGAAAAATTATTTTTGGCTGCGGGGGTCAATTGCAATCATATTTGGTGAATAGACATACCCCCGAATTCCTACGCACTTCTGAGAAAAAAATTCTTTGCCGAAAATACAATGTCTGACCAGGCGTTGATTCATTCCCCTGAAATTTCATGCGTATGTTTAAAAAGTCATAGCTCCTGAACGGATTGGACGATTTTAATTTTTCAAAATGCAAACGACGCGTATTTTAATCAAGAATATGTAGAAATTCTAAGAATATTGGGAAAGTTATTCCTTAACACTGTAAAGTTAGAAAAACCCCATAAAAGTGGTACTGTATTATCTGTACTGTCTAATGAGGTTACCTGTACAATAAATTATTATTACTACTGCTACTACTAACATTGATTTACGCAGAGAGAATTGATTTCACGTTTCACCGAATGTTTCAAAATTGAAAAAAAAAGGTTTTGGGGCCCTGAAATCCCCAACATGGCGAACGAAAAATTAACTCGAAAGACAAGATTAATCATACATTTACTTCGGTCTAATTTTTTTTTTAACGACGAACTCTTTCTATTTAACATAGAAGCGGATAATTTGTTGGAGGATCATCCCTTTACGGCGAATTAAGTATCGGGGACGGCAAACACCGTACCGGGAACGCAGCCCTCTGCAAATCCCAAATCTTTCATAATTTTTTGGACGTTCCGGAGGTCCACCCTTGTTAGTTTTAAGTTACGCCGGAGGATCCGTCCGGTCGTAGCCGGAAAAATGTGTGCTCGCCCGTGCGGAACGAACGAGGGTGTGCATTTGGAAAAAGTCTGCGGCGAGTGGGCCGTGAAAGCGAAAACGCGTCAAAATTGACTCGCGAGCCGCGGTCCCGTGGCTCGTGAAAATAAGGGCAACTTGACGTAATACTTTATAATTACACTTACTTCGTTATCTTCTTCCGGCTGTTTGCGAGCACACAGCGGGCACGAGAAACTTTTTCATTCGCTGCGTTCCTCTTTCCCCTCTACTTACCTAGGAAAATGTCATCGTAAGTCACAAGAACGTTTCTCCTTATTCTTTCCGAGCTACATTACGCGGAATTTATCTTGGCCATTTGGCTTCGATACAACATTCTGAACAGTTACCAAATCGGCATAACGAGTTTTATATAATTTTTTGCTCGAAAAATGACAGATAGATTCGGCACAGAATGCAGTTTCTGTGTAAGAGTAAAATTTGTGATGACAATTCTCTGAGGCGCCGCCAGAGGGAGACTCAACGCGTACCTTTCTCGCAAGTGCTCGAGCGATAGTCTGGACATATACGCCAAGGCACGGAACTCTCATTTCTTCCTACAACAGCTGAGTAAGATATATTCCGTATTTGATTAATGGAGTATTACTGAAATATTTAAATACTAGAGAGTACTTTTTTCACTATTGCAGAATTGAAGAAATAATAAACTATGGATTACAAGAATTTAAAATATTTTAAGTTTTTTTGACTCTTCTATACGTTCGTGTTATAGAAGTATACTATCCCGTTAAAGGTTAATTAACCACACCGACCTTAACCTTAACAGTCCCCGTCGGTGAGCCACGCCATAAGGCGCCAACGTTTGAATCAGGGGTAGAACGTCTACAAAATATCGAGTAAATAGGATCGAATATGCGATGTACGGTCCCCCTCAGACATTATACTCCATTTCCTCGGCCCTTCCGACCCTCGCGTTCTCTACCCCCTCCGTGTAAAAATCACGAAGACATTTCCTCGGAGGGGATAGGAGATTCTCCGTGGAAAATATCTAGGTTGCATTTCGCGGGCATTGTGCGCCGCGCCGACAAGATTAGAATAGAAATTCGGCCGCGAACGGAAATGGCCGAGGGGCACGATCATGCACAATTTCGACGGTGCCGCCCGTTACGGATGCTGAACATTTCCACGTAGTTGCGCGGTCGGCGCCCGGGAACTTTTGTCACCGCGCAGATGTAGCTTTTGTGTATAAGTTCGGATGTGGCGTGTGGCCCGATGAAAAGTGAAAATTTTCGCGCCCACGGTACGGCCCGCCAGCCCCATAAATTTTCACCAACTTTCGTCATGGACAAAGCGACCAGCCTTTTCCGGACCCCGCCCGCCCGCCGCCCTTCGGAACCGGAAACTTTCCAGCTGGGCGAAAAAGCGAGAGACCCCCCGCCCCCCTCCTCCCCCCTCGGTATTTACGCGGTGCAGAAAGAAAAAAAAAAAAATGGCGGCCAGAGGGACAAAGGGCGGAGCAGAAGGAGCCGCCCGGAGAAGGAAATTTTTTTTATCAGCGTCGAGGAGTTTCTTTCGCGGGACGATATTTCATAATTATCACCGTCAGCCCCGGCACTTTTTGTTTCTGTAATTACTGCGGCTGCACGAAGTGGCTTCTCACGGTGGCTGGCGATAACGTTAGCGACGCCGGGCCTCCGAGCGCTGGCTCGCATCTTTGATGAGATCGGGAGGCCAGTCTCCCTGGTATTTTCGCGTCTTTTCGAATCAAAATATCAGCTAAAAATATCGTGCAAAGTTTCGTTTCGATCGATACTATTATTTCGATTTTATTCGCCTCTCCGTTGAGCCCCCGTAAAACTGGTAGAAATCTTTACCTATTTTTAGGTAAAATTAGACTTTTAATTGAGTTATCTTTCCCTGCGATATCGTGTCGCGTGACATTTTGTCCCGCGTTATTTTTTCGCCCCGCCGCGGCGACCGACTATTTAAGGGAACATTGTCACGAAAATGTATACAGGGTGCCCAGTCGAAAACGTTACATTTTTACTTTTTACGAAACGTTAACTCCCTCGACGATATTTGTTCGTCCCTTTGACCGTCGTTCATCGCGATCCTTGGTTCATAATTTTATCGTCTTAACGCAGGTATACCAGGCAATTCTCTCCCCGTGTTCTCATCCTTACGGCTATCGATGTCTCATACATATTCACACATCTCTACTATTCCGAGCACTTTAGAATTCAAATTCTGCCGCAATGCTCACACATTCCTATCCAGCCCCACTTAACTGTTCCCTGTGTTCATATCAATACTATTCCCTTATTTGATCATTACAGTCCAAAACACACGAGGCTGCAGCTAACGCGCTCGAAACAACTATCATCCCCAATCTCTATCTTTTCATCTTTCGTCTAAAATTATATTAATCTTGTAAATCCCCTATTTTACTTTGGAACACCAAAAGTCGGTTCACGAACGGATCTAATATTTTTATTCAACAAGAATCGCCTCCAAAATTTAAATTCATCAAATTCTTCCCCCCAAACAGGTTTCAACAAATGTCTCTCGCTCTGCAACCCTATCGATTCGTTTGATCTTCTCGATTCGCAACTTCGCGGCAGCGGGTAGACATCAAGTATGTAATATTCAATGAAGTCAAAGCGAACGCTTTTATTTGTAACTTCTTGACTTAAAATTCATTTCGTACATCTACTAAATAACTGTGCAGAAATGTTTCCCACCCAGCTCTCATAAATTGCCAAAGTAAGATGCAAATGATAAGTACCATTAAGTATTCATTCGTTGTACATAGCATGCGCTCCGTTCCAGGTGATATAAATTATTCAGCAAAGTTTGAATAACCGTCGGATTCGGTTGAAAATTTGAATTTATTACACCCGCCATGACGGAGGAGAGAGGGAAAGGTACCGCCTAAACATTTAATCAAACCTACTGACGGACGTCAACAATTTCACGACGAACAGTACCGAACGTCAAATCTAAAATTTGTTGGTCCAATCTACACTTTGATACGCGAAATTGTACTTTAATTATCTGTGAAGCGAAACAGTTATATCGAACGGCGAAAGTTGCCTCGCTCCAGATCCGCTAGAGAACTCGTCGATAAGGCTTTTCTAGGGGATTCTGTCGCCGACAGGCCTCCCAGGTGGAAACTATTTTCTATAACAAGAGATTTCAGATCAGTTTTCACGCAGGATCTGTGCCTTGTACTTCATGATTCTATTTTACGTAATTTCCAATAACTAAAGCTAAAATAGAGATTTTCGAACTTTTGTTTGCCACCCCCTTCCGAGCTCTCCTCAAGGCAACATCGATCCACGGATGAATAATTACGCTACCGTCTCGTTAAAACAATATCATAATAGCGTACTCCGTGGCTGTTAAACAGTAATTTCCATTTCGCGTCATTTATTATGCAATGCTTACTATTAGCGCGATGCATGCATTCATTTGTACAATAATTGTTGCAACATCGGCGTAGTCGGTGTGAAGGGGGGTGTAACTCATCTAGAATTTCAACGCCTAAAATTTCAAACAATTATGGGACTTGCTCTCGCGCATTGTCAAATTTCGTTCCCTCCTCGATGCTCAAAGTTATTTCGCTACTTATTAACGAAAATGCAACTCTCGCCACTGGCACAGAGAAAGTTCGTTGAATTTTTGTAAATGTTTTATTGCAAAAAAATAAAGTGAAACCTCAAAGTATCCATTATGTCCATATTTATTATCGTTCAGTCTTTCGTGTTCGAGCAGTTAAAAATTACATACAGAGTACTGTAAAAAATATGGTAAAGTTTGACAATGTTTGGCTGCCTATCTACAAATAGAACTTCATCTAAACTTTGTTCGAAAATGTTAACCCCAAATCTGCATTTACCACGAAGTGACCGATAATCCAATAAATCGACGAGAGTGCAAGCACGTTTTAAAAAGATAAAAATGTAATTGTTACAGAATGTTGGCAGCTCGTGATCAAAAACGTGGACGTCCCGAAAACGGTGAAGGTGGGCGAGGCGGATCACGTGATCCTGGACTGCGACTATGATTTCGAGAACACGCCTACGAAGGGATTAGTCGTGAAATGGTTCTTCAACGTCAACGAACTGGCTTACCAATGGATATACGGTAGGAACCCTTTGGCCGGCGAGCTCATGGAGAAGTACGTCGACCTGAAGTACGAAGCCAGCGACGATCCGTACACCAAGTACCGAGCCATGAAATTGAATAAGCCCGGTATCGATCTTACCGGCGACTACAGGTGCGTCATATCCACTTTCGCGGACGAGCGGTCTGCCAATGCCTCCATGGTTGTGTACTGTAAGTATCCCGCTATTTACGACCAACCAAACTGCCCGTTGATTTACGATCCTTTATGCCGATTTATGCCGAACGGACTATACCCGGGGCCATCATCCTCCCCGCGTAACATTTTATTTTTCCGTTCGCCCAGACCTCGTCTCGACTCGATTTTCCTCCCTGACAGACTTCTCTCTTAACCTTCTGCTTCGCTGAACGATTAACGGTCGGCGAAAATTGGAAAATCGGAAATTTGACCAACCTCTCGAGAAGTAAAAAGACTCGAAACTTTGATTGCAAAGGTCGCTTGTTAGAAAATCTAGGTTTAAAATGCAAGACAACGCTTAATAATATTATTATTTTTAGAATTTAGATTTGAACTGTAACGTTTGGAGAAAGGCTAACACCTAACAATGATAATGTTTCTCAGCAAAATCATGGTCATTGCTTTGAGACTATCTTGCAGGAGGTTCGCAAGGGTGAAGGAAATAACAGTTTTATCGACCGAGTTATCAAAATGGCCGAAAGTGAAACAGCTGTCGCGGATAATTGAGGTTATGTTCGTAGACTCCTCCCGCTGTCTTTCCCCCAATTTAGTCGGCTGATCCTCCACGTTAAGTACTTTTCTCAGACCGCAATATCTATAACAAATCGAGATCGAAATATCGGGGATTATTAACGTAATTCGGGGATCGCGAATTCTTTTTTAGCGGATATGAAATCGTAATTGTCGATAGCGTTGAGTCAGCGGGTACTTAAGCCCTTCGTTCTTCCAATCAATTGTTCCCCGATGGACGGTTTAAATTGTTTCGCGGAAGAATTGATTGGCCACGACGAATCGAGTATTGTCTTCTATCGATTACAGACGTTTATCGACGGAATCTCAACGAAATGTAACATATTTATTTTACGATCCAATAGAATCGAATGCATTTTAATTCATAGTGCGTTGATTACAGTTTAATTGAAATTGACGGATTTAAAGTCGGATTTAAAATTGACGCGCTTACAGTCTTCAAATATAACTGTCGAACGGGGAACGAAAACGTTCTATCAGCGCGGCGGCAATAATCCGAGATAATTCTAAGAGATAAAACATTGATTTACGATTCTTTATCCGGACGTGTAGTCGAGGACGCCATTATTTCACCTACAATTCGATCACGCGGATCCGACAATTATTCATAGCCTATACACCCACGCATTTCCACACTGTTAAGTTTCTCTTACGCGTCTGTTGGCCCGTAAACTCGTAAAACGAATGGACAGGAACGGAAAGACACTCGTTCGAAACTAGAAAATTGTGCAACAAAACGGCGTGTCGTTTCTCGGGCATGAATAACACGGTTTGGCTCACAAATTTATCGTTTGTTGATATTTTGTAAAAGCCAATACTATTCTTCTCGTTGCTGTTTCGCGACCGAAACTTCGAAGCCTTTGCGCGCCAAGCACGTTCGGAACAAACCAAAATGTTGCTTCGCGTCTCTTCGACAAACAATCTTTTCCCGCGTATCGATTTTACGTTACCGTTTATATTTCATCGACGTTAATGAGAAAAGAACCGTACGCTCGCGCGGCGAATATTTTCACGACGTTTACTTTAATTTCGATTATGCACCCCATGGGGAAATCGCGTATGTCGCGTGCTCCGCCGCCCGCGATAAGTGCGCAATTGTTGTCAAGTCATGTTACACTTTTACACGTCCCACGCATTTTGTCGTGACGTGCCGCGATGCGGAGCGATGTTGCGTGAAATAATTCTTTAAATTGCAACGCGACACGAAACAAAGGCGCCGGTTTTGATCGAATCTCGACCGGCCGTTTATTTACCTCTGCTCGAATTTTCGTCATGTTAGATCCTGAATAATTTATAACCGTTGCAATTAACGTCGAAACACGCTTTTCTATCCTAATTAGGAAATACACGGTGATAAAGTACATACAGGCGCGATCGATGCGCAATGATTCGAACGTTTCGGCAGAAAAATAAATAAACGACATCGTCGAGGGTATCGAACACGATTTAACGGATTTAAAATAACGTTTGATCGAAATATCCCGAGAGTATGTTGAGTCGATTTTGTGGCGATTACAAATTGGCAGTCTCGTAATGTATTTCGATAATCGAGTCGAGGAGAAGGACACTTTGGAATTATGTGAAAACTCCACCTCTTTTTCGTTATCATCACGTAATCGCGATAGCAAATTATTTCGACGGGAAATTATAGCTAAGTTCAAATTTCAATTAAACGCGCAAATCAACGCCGTGCGACGGTAATTTTATAAATTAATGAAATTAGCGGAATTAATTAGCGCGACGGAGCAATTTTCGTATTGAAATTAACGGTTTCGTTGCGATTACGATCGTCGTTAGTGTCATCGAACATTTTAACGGTGTAATCGGTCGACACCCCCCCGTCCACCGGACCGTCTACAGCGTGTTTTATTTTCAAACAAGCATTTCGGAGGGGACTTATGTGTGTTTGACAAATACTTTTCACGCAGCAAAGCGGATAAGCTAATTATCGATGCTCGAAGGAGCAATTTATTGCTCGCCGCGAGCAACACGCAAGAAAGCGAATCGTTCCCCGGGGTAGTCTCAAATATTTACCAACGAAGTTGGAGCACCGTGTAGTCAAGACAGATTATTTTGACGGCAAACAGAAATCTCGTGGGGGAAAAAGTTCCAAGCATCCATGGTTGGCCGAGTGTAATTTAAAATTCTAACTCGTAAAGGTTAAACGTTGCTCGAACCACCTATTGACTCTCTGTCCCCAAAATTCGCCGACAAGACCACGGAGTTGTTCCAACGACTCTCGTATCGTTTCTTAAACATTGTAACTTCGACCTTACCCGTTCGAAAAATTTAGAATATTTGTTGTCAGGTTCGAAAGAAACTTTTATATAAATTTGTACAAATCTATATTAAATTCTATTAGTGTTCAACTGTATTGTGATATAAAATCGATCTATCTATCTACTATTTTCGAGATTAATATATTTAAGATAATTAAAGATAATTGCAACAATGATTTCACCAAAAATAAATAGCTATTTATCGACTGTTTTTGCTATAAATTGACAGCGAATAGGGATAGTTGCTCCGAAGTTAGGGTGTTGTTCGTGAACGTTCTCGAAGCGAACGGTGAATCCGAAACAATATTCCTTCTGCATGAGTTGCTTACAGTCGGTCACAGAAGTCTACACACACACACAAACACACACAGCCACATCTCATACCGCATGGAGAGCTAAAGTAAACCAAGAATGTTCTCTGTCGCAGCACTACGAAAGACCAACAAAGTATTAACATAATATTATTCACAATATCTACGAATCTTAATACGCTTCAAATATTTGCAAACGTTTTGTCGCGAACATAAAGTATCTATTACTCTGTACCTCGTACGTTCGCAATTTTATTCGAGTAAACGAAAGAGTACATACAATAAAATTATTAACAGACAGTGTACAACAGTGGGTTAATTCTATCAATGTTGTAACAGTTTTTCTGTTAGTCTTTCATTCGGTGAATTCTACCGAGAATAATGCAGAACGTGAAAGGACGAGTGCTTGATTTCCTTGGAAAATTGTTGAATTAAAGTTGTATATTTTTATATTCTGTTATCTTCGCGGTTCATATTTCTTTGCGCCGCTAATGAATTCCCTTTTTTCCATTTTGTGCCGCTGTAAGAACACAATTACGAGGGAAAACAGGCGGATCGTTGAACGTCGAGCGTTGTCCTCAATAATTAAATATTTCGTTAAACCCAAGCGACCACATTCATTTTCCAGTTCCGTCGTCCTCGCTCTTTTCAATTCTCAGTCGACCGATAATACCTCCCCGAAGACAAATTCGCGTCCAATTTGATTAAATTCTAATTTCGCGCGATTTTCGACCGAATAACGCCGCCATATTTGACGAAAATTTCTATCCTCGCGGAAAATTAACTTTTCCATCGCAAAGGTAGATATCGATTCTCGAAACCGTAGAATTTATCTGGATTCGGAGTTTTAAAGTCACGTTTATGCTCCCAAAATTTATTTCCGGCCTATTCTGTTGCTATCGAAAAATTTCTGAGATACGTTCTTTCCTAATTGCTTATCATCGAACTTCGATCGAATTTGCTTCGTTAACAAATGCGTCGCACCTGCGACGGTAATTTACGTTTAATTTCAATCGATACTTCTAATTACTGTGTTTGTGTCGCGGTACTTGCTATATTTGCGCGAAATTATGGCGACTATAGCGGTGTATTCGCAAGTACATCCATAATTTCGCAACTTCTTGCGGAAAGGCTTCTACTCCGGGAATAACTTTTGGATAATTTGCAGTCCCATCTGCTACCTCCGCCATTGTAAATATTACCACGACTTTACTTTTCTTGGAAAATCTACGTTTTAAAATAATTTCACGTCAACAACTATGCCTGAAACACTTTTCTACGATTGCAAACGCGGACTCTGGATAAATTTATTTTATTAAATTCCTTCCATCTGCAAACGTTTGAATTACGTTTACAAATATATCAAAGCAGCATATTTACGGTTCTATTTCTGTAAATACATATCGGTCGATCGAATTTCAATAAACGCTTCGTCTACTGCGAGCTTACGTTTATTACTCCGTATGCAAATATTACATGATAAACTGTTGTGTAAACACGAGCGGCGAAACCACCGGTCTCATTAGAATTGATTATTCGACGGAAAATGAAACAAAATATTCCTAATTGATTAAATTTTACAGCGTGACAGAACAAGTAGCGAAACGAAAATACCGTAAACCTAATTGAAATCCAATTAATTTAGATTATCTGGCTAATGGATCATCCGAATTAAATCCGTAAATTGAGATTAACGTTTATTGCGAAAGAAGCAGCTTAAACTAACTGAAATACCACCTAATAAATTGCATCGGGGAAACATTATGAAAATAGAGGGAACGGTTGCTGGAAATGAACGAAATTTTTTATGATTATTTAAACGATCCGTTTTCACTTCACTATCTTCTTTTTTTATCAATTTCTGTTATTATAATCGTGAATGACAATTTTCATTTAATTTTAATATTAATTCGTTTGTGGTCATATTTAATGTACAATAATCGCAGAAATCAAACATAAATCCTCTTAAATGGCACCAACAGTAGCGCGAGCAAATAATAAGCGACATTATAACGATTAAATGCTAGAAACACTCACGATTATTATCATTTATAGAAATTGATGTATACAAACAAAGGTGGGTTAGCGATAGCACCAAACGCGAAGCAATTTTTTGTACAAAAATAAATGGAAACGTAGCGAGGAAACCAAATAAGCGGAATAAAATTTGTTCGCGTCCGACCATTATTCGTCATTACTACTTGCGCTATTCTGTTCTGTTTGTAAACGTACTGTTTCTCAAAATTACCATTCGTTAAATAATTTTTGCCACAAAAATAAATGGAAACGGAGCAAAAAAATAAATAAATAACAGGAATAAAATTTTTTGGCGTACGATCGAACGCGTTCGACCATTTCTCGACAGTACTGCTTGTGCTAGTTTGTTGCGTTTGTGAATTTACCGTTTCTCAAAGTTACCATTCTCTAAGTACACAGTCCTAAGTAGTTGGAACAGATATTATCAATGTTCACAAACGCTAACGCCAGTGGAGATAACGGGATATGGTCAGACTCGTTAGTGGTTCTCAATCGAACGCGTGTCCTATTTTTTATTTCATCGAAACCCGGTATAATTTCCGAGTCTCCTCTGTGTTTATTATTCTACATTGACACGTTCGCGGACGGTAAAAATTTTAATATAAAAATTGGCCATTGCATTAAAATGCGTAATAATTTCAAAAACTAAAAACTATATAGAATCGAATGCATGATAACGTGGCTTGTAAATTTGAACGTATTGATTATTTTACTAACATTTACGAACGACGATATTTTCTCTAGAATATTTCTTTTCTTTTCTCGCGCGTATTGCCTCTTTTCGTGCCGGGAAGGAATCGTGGACTCGTCGTTTCTCGCGTTGAAATTCACTTTTGAGATCGTATCGCGTGCAGGGTTTCTGGTTTTCTTTCCCCGGCGACGGTGGTCGCGGCGGACGCGCTGGGACGCGATATAATTTGAACTTTTCTGTCACCGGTGACACGTGCGCAATTTATTTTCTCGGTCGCATTTACCGTGGCCTCTCGCGGCCAGTGGCCGGTTCTCGTTCGCGAAAATAAAAGTTGCCGACCAGCGCAATGAAACGGAGCGAGAGGAGACGACGTGGGAGACCCGGGGCCCTGGAAACGTCCGAACATTATCGCGATAATGCAACGTCCTCCTCCATACCCGCGGCCAGCGCACACGCGCGTTTGTATCCTTTTTACTATTAGCTTTTTATTTTCACTGCCGTACGTGTGGCCGCCGCGAAATATCCACTTACGCTCCTTGTATCGCGCAGTGTCCGGGATTCGATGGACTCTCGTAAATTCCTCTGCCTTCCATGCAACCCCCCTCCCCATGCTTAATGGAAAATTGAATGTCCCCGGGTTCCACGACCCCGGATCTCGGAATCATTGCGCGATAACGTTGTCTTACGACGTCGCAAAGAACCCAACCCCCCCGTCGACTTTCGTTGCCCTCGTTTCACCTTTTCGGCTACGACGCTCCAAAGTGGCTCTCCCCGTCGATGGGGGCAACGGTTCAAGGGTCGAATAATAACAATTTTGGGTTACGCGGGTCAGGAAACGATCTGCATACTTATACGGAACTTAAACTCTTTGTAAACTCGACTCTGATGGTCGAGGAGACTTCGAGAGTGCAGTCACCGATGACCAGAGCTCGCCCACGAACGCGAATTTTCACGAAATTGTCGGCGAACAGAAGCTTCGTATTTTTCCAGATCTATTTGGCGTAATTAGTTTCTGTGGTTTATTTGTGCACAGTCAATTTCTTCTTTTGAAGACGAGATTTCGTATCGAATTTGGGAAACTATTTTTGTGATTTATTTTGAGACTGCGATTTAGTAACAAGAGAAATGGAAGGGGAGCATTTACTGTCTCAGACGCCAGGACAGTGAAAGATCGAGCACTTGCGAGAAAGTCAATTTGTTAGCCATCTGGCAGCGAGAATCTTGATATTTGTGTTAATATTGCAATTTTTAAAGCGTTGAAAATATTTCTTTTTGATTGAAAGATACTTGTTAAAGCTGGTAAAATAAACAAGATTAAAAAGAAAGTCTCAAACAATTCAGCCATGATTAACATAAAACTGTCGGAGGACGGTGTTTTTTTCATTACAGGCTGCGGTGGGAAGTTGTACGAAACAATGTTCGTTTTAGATTAGAATTGATCGTAAACGCAAGATGTGGAAAAAACGAAGCAGGTGCGCGCGAAGGATTCGATTTAGAGCTAATGGAATGTACGTGTCAGGAGAGTTTCCTCGAAGGGCACCAATGTAAAAAATATTGACAGTTACATTTGTGTACACCTATAGTTCCTCTCCTTTCGAGTCTTTCTCGAAATTATTCCAGGAGAGACGAACGTACAAATTTGACAGGACAAGTATTCCTTGAAATGATAAACATAAAAGTTTCATAAAAATCAAAAAACTATTCCAACGAATAAGGTTTTCTATTTTAAATCCCGATTAATGCTGGAATTTAACTACATTTTCCAATTTTCATTATTTCACTGCAGGCTTTTCTCTTTGTTTTATGAAAAAAAAAAAAACTTCACCCGTGACGACGCACGCCATCCACCGAATTTCCCATCGGTATTACCTCATAAACTTTCACCAGCGTGATAATAAAGCGCGAAGTAAAATAGTAAAAATTTCGAGAAGTCGCCGAACCGTAAAATTACCAAATCCTTCGCATTCTTGCAAAACTAATGAAAATAATAACCCAGCTGCGTTCATTTATCGGAACTAAATCTCTGTGTTAAATGCCATTCGATGCAGATAAAGGTACACACGGTGGAACGTGGAAGAGATCTAAATAAAGATTGGAATGAAATAGAGTATTGTCTGCAGAGGATAGACTCGTGGTACGTGGGACGAATAAAATTTCGCAGTTGCTTTTACAACAATACCGACCTGGCTTTCGGCTACGTCCGAATCGAACAGTCCGGGAAATCATTGTCGAACATTAAGCTTTATCGCCCGTACTGTGCGCGCTCGAATTTATTCGCCAATTTGTCTTATGCCAATAAGCCTCTTGTAGAAGGGAGAAATAGAAACCAAAGGATTGGATGCGAAAAATAGCGTGGCTGTTTACAAGTAGAGAATACGTATGTTGAATTAATTACGACGGATACGTTTCGTCTCGAAAAACAACGATCACGGTGCAACTGAATTTACCATTACTCGAATAAACATTGCACTGCTTTCAGTAACTTTCAATTTAGAGCGAATATTTCGTTTTCAAAAGGAAACAATATTCTCGTTTGTTCCAGCAACCGAGGAAAAATTCGATCTTGTTTATAGAAAGAGAACAATAGACGATAAGGATGGAGTGGAGATATCGTGTATGGCAGAAGGACTATATCCACAACCTACCCTGGATATATCCATCGAGTAAGTACTCCCGCAAGCTTTTCAACCCCCCACAAGCATGCACCAGGGTAAACTATCCAATTTTCTGATATTTTCAAATCTTGATAAAGGCAGAATTTTTCCTTGTATGTTAACGAATAAAATGATTTTTGTCTCGATGCACAGAATCAGTGGGTGAATTTCTTGAAAATTCGTGTAAAAAGCAGTGGAATTAAAAATATACAAAACAAATTTCGAATGTATTAATCGTTTGCAAAGTAACTACTTTGAAATTGTGATAAAACATTTTTCCCCAGATATACGATTCCATAGGAAGAGAAAAGAAATGTTGAATGTATTTGGGTGAAAACGGGGAACTAAGTCGTCTGATTTTAGCACGAGAAACTTCTCAGCGATAACAACGAGTCCTGTGAAACAGCCTTGCAGCACTGTTATCTGTAATAATAAAACCCAAAGTGTAAAGCGTGAACAGCGACAAGTCGTAGATTATATCGCGCTGAATAAACATCGTTATTATTTTACATATTCGCTGAGACTTTCATCGTGTAAGAACGTGACGTACAAAACTGGTGTTTAAAAAAAAATTGCAACAAACGCGCTCGATTTCGTGAACTTTCGCAATTTTCTATCGTAGCCTTTATCACGTCGATGAATTAATTATTAGTTGTGCAGAAAGTTTATATAATTTTATGTATTAAAGATTGCTGCACTTGACATTTCCTTTTAAACAAACAAGCACGGAATAATTTTATAGGACTCTCTAATCTGCCAGGGAATCTCTAGAATAACAGTATCAAGCTAACGGGGAACATTCAACGAACATACAAGGTGTCCCGTCAGAAACAGAACACCCAATTACTTCCTTCAGTTCTGACGGCACAAACGGACGTTTCAAAACAGAATTTTCTTTCATCCTTGAGCTTCAAATGCTACGAAACACGCGTGAACATTAATCGACAGTAACCAATATCGCAAATGATGTCTGAATAAATTTTTAAAAATACGCCACGATCAATATAAAACTCGAGTCTTCGAATAAAAATGAAAACCCAAAATGTAAAATATTGAAAAATCGTAAAATATGCAACTCTTATGCAACGTATCGACAAGCGTGCCTCTCAAAGGCGGAATAAGTTCTGAAATATTGTCGACGTCGCGAACGAAGGAAACAATTTGGTGTTTCTGCCGGGACACCCCGTATTGCATGATGTTTGGGCTTTAACGCGGCCGTGATAATTTTGCAAACGTCGCTTCCATTGCAGGGGTGTTCCGGAAAAGCAAACAGCGAGGCCCACCGTTACGCTGCGTGACGATGGACTGTACGATATCTTATCACGAACGGCCTTACTGGACGAAGATTTACCGGAAGCGGCGATTGTCAAATGCTTGCTCGGTATACCGAAGGCAAACTACAACGTTTCCCACCAAACCGTCTACTATCCCGGTTAGTATAACGTATTTTAATCTAACCTATCTATCTTCGTTTCTATCTCTCGCTGTCCTCTATCTTTCTACGGGCTTCCGTTACCATTCCACGTTCGATCTTTATCGTGACCAGGACGAAAAAGCATCACTCGTTACACGGTTAATATAGCCCGCCAATTAATTACGTTCCATTCTTGCTCCCGCCTCCAAATCGATTCGTGGCGATCGTCCAGGCATGTCATTTTTATCCGGGGATCAACTTTCACTTTGCTATTTTACCAAATTTACAATCGTGAGATACCTTGTGACTTTAACCGGTAAAACTCTGTTTATATTTATCTTGGCTTGAAAGTACTCGTTGGTGTTGGAAGAGGTACTACGGGTCCGCGAGAAGTTGGAAAACGAAAGGAACGCGGGTCTGATTGGTTCCCCACTCTAGTTCGGAATTAAAGTGGGGATGAGCGGAGCAAACGAAGCGCTGTTCCACTGGCCAACTTCTCGAGTAGACACAGTATCATCTTCTTGTTATTTATCATTGGAACAAGTTATTTGCGGAAACGTATCAAAGATAAATGTACATGATAAAGCTAAGGAATAAGAACGATTATAAAGATCAAACGGATCGTAAAATCGAATGCAACTGGTAACGTGTTTGACATGTCTGCTCCAACTGGACGAGCCTGCCTTTTCTGATAAATATTTGCACGATGACGTTTGCACTTTTACGACCGGTATACTTCCTCGAGAGACCGTTAACGAATTTACTTTGAGTTCGCGAAGTTCTGAGGTTACGAAATGCATTCACAGTATAATTAATAGCGTCTGTCTCGGCAATTCTATACTCAAAACAATAAATATATGTCTAGTGTACAAATTATCAAATATTCCCATTCCCCACCCTCCCCCGATCGTTCCCCAAAAAACACTTTGCAAAGTAAGTATCCGATTAATTCTACGTAACGTAGAAAATACGATAAACGTGGAAAGGTGTTTTTCGTTGTCGTCGAGGAATGTGGCGGGAACCGTCGATGCGGCTGACATCCGGTGTGGCAATTTTTAAATACTTCCCGCGTGTTTGAAAAACCGTTATCGTTGACCGTGATTGCCTTGCTGTTCCATGTGTAATTTTGTCTCCTGTGTGTACATGTTCCCTGTGCGTATAAACACGAAACGTAAATAATAAATCGAACCCCGTCGAGCGTTTGGCGAGTTCGGCGTTTACGCTTCCCGGGCGTTGCGTTACACGTTTTACGGAACGTTAACGTCAACGTTGAATTGTAAACGATGCCTTCACTTTGGCTCGTCGAACAAACAACCTCCTCCGCCCCGGCAAATTTACGATTCTTATTTTTATTTCGATTTTTTTCATTTCTCGTCGCGTTTCTGTGTTTTTTCGGGGGAACGCGGAGATACCGGGGCACGTGGACGTCGCGCTCTTCCGCGTTTCCGGTTCCGCGAGGGAAATATTGCGACGCGACGAAGCGGACACCCGTCCGGCGACATTCGCTTTTCGACCGGACGAAAGTTTCTCGCGTGGAACGTTGATCGACAGAAAGTAGGAATAACAAAATACGGGCAAAATTTCGCAGTTTATACAGGGTGGGGGACACGGAACCCGAAACTCCATTTATCTCCTCTTGTTTGATCTTTTAATTCGACTGTTCTCGAAGAGTCTCGATCTCGAATCGCAGAAATAATTTTTAATAATTAAACTTGCTCGTACTGTTCATACTGTTAGCCAGAAATATTGTTATTGAAATAAGGAAGAAGGTCTATTGGTGTTTTTAATATTCTGAGCCACTCTTAGAGATTTTACTTGTATTTTTATATATTTTGAAATATATTCACTTACTTAAACGATACGAAATTGTTAATGACGCTCACCCAGAACCGATAGGAGGCAAACGCGAAAGCTTTAAAAACGCTCTGTTGCATATTTTAGGTACGACGAGCATACCTTTTTATAAACTTCGTGCGTATGGTATATTTCAAAGCAGGGGTATATAGCGGGGGATTAATAATTCACTGTGTGGGAGAACATTGTCGGAACTCGTAGCGGAGTAGAGTAGTTTTTAATATTACCTGGACTAAAGTCGAAATCTACACTGAATCCTGTAACTTTGTATTCATAGTTCGTTTCAAGTACATTCCACGTGTGTTAATTCATGAGAATAATTTAAATCTCCCGGTGGTTGGACGATTAAGGGAATGATCTCCATTATTATAAGACTTTCATCCATTTTCTAAATATCATACAAAAGTTCATATTTATCTGAAAATGTTACTTCGAAGGTAGAAAAATGGGATTTGAACAAAACTACAAATTAAATTATGAAGTCATTTTGTGACAAAGAAGCAGCTTTCTTTTTGCGTTGTAATTTGTCTCTTCTTCCGTTCTTTTTCACGTTTTGTGCATTTTTAAAATTCCGCTGCAACTTTCTTCCTGACTGCATTGCTCGTTTGTCTTCAACGTTTTTTAGTTTTATTATTTTTTTCATCATTCTTTGTTTTCTCCTTCATAGTTGCAAACGTGTACAAATATAATTAATCTAAATATTAAAGAAGGAAACAAACACGAAGCACATTCAAATGCACGTGCAATTCCAACATTACATTTTCGACAGTAATTATGTTTGATAATTGCTCATTAATTTTAATAATATGTAAGTTCGTTCATCCGTAATTTCATATATAATACGAAAGATATTTACCGTGTTACGATATTTTATTTAATTACTGTGTCAGCCAGTAAACGTAATAATTTGGATATTAAAACAACCGCTATCATTAAAAAAATGAAACCTGCCTCGATTCTGTATTTTTTGAATTTAAAAAAAATCTTTATTTTCTGACAAGATAGAAAATGTAAATTAATTGCTTGCTCGAAAAGCGCGTGGTTTTTGTTAATCAGCAGAATCATTAAGAATTTTAGGACTCCGCTATCGTTACATTTTTCCCCTCGATATTACGTTACGTTTTTATAATCATGTTTCTTTTTGGAAAAGAAACGTTGAAGAATTATTATTCACTTTTTAAACATCACAAATATTAATGAAACTTTGCGTCGACGTCCAATTATTGGATCGTGTTCAATCACTTTTTTTCACGTTAATATTATTTTTACATTTACGTGGCGAAAAGCAATATTACACAATGGCGAAACCTTTCTGGCGCCAGGGTAAAATGAATTAATTAAAAGATTTATGCAGTCACGCTGAAGTATAGTCTGAAAATTTAAAGAAACCGTGGATCTGAAAATTATCGTTTTTATTTCAATTAAATACTAAGCCCAACAATTCAAAGATTCTCTAATAAATCCATAGTTTGTATAGAAGGTATTCCAGTAAGCACGAAACAAACGGGAATGGTGATATTCTACGTAAAAAGTAAAATTTATTGTCATAATGGCTTCGTTTTCGAGATAATCGAATGAGAAAATTTGTCGAGCACGCGTGCAACTGAATACGATTTGTCCAACGCGTCTGACCACTACTCGCTATTTCTACTTGCTCCGATGTCCAAGGTGTACTATATTGCACGCGTCACCTATGAATATTCAAAATCGATTTTCTCTAAAACGAATCCCCGGTGTGAAGAAATTTTATTTTACATTTTCGATTTATTTTTTTACGTGAAATTACTCTTTTTCCCAGTTGTGACTACTGGAACACATTTTTCCTATTTCGAACACCGATTTTTATATATTTTTCGGCTGTACATCACTGAGCAGAATTTCAGGAAAATCGGCGTATAATTTTTTGCGTGTAAAAAATTGTTTTGCAAAACTTAACATGATCGAAACAAAGAATGGTAAAAAAATAACAATTCCTGATCGATTGTGAGTAGTAATTTCATTCGTATTCGAAAGTTAATCGAGAAATAAAATAATTTGCTTGCTCAAAACGTTTCACTTGTCGTCCTTTTCCAACCTAGGTAACGCGATGATTTTCCTGAAATTTGAATACCTTCGACGAAGGTTTTTCAATGCCATATTCCGAGTCCCATTGTGTAAATTCAAAAGCACATGTACTCTGAAGAGTAATTATGTTTTACAACAAGCTCGATTATACTCAGTCAAAATGTTCACAGACCGTAGACGCATTGTCATTACAACAAAAACAGCAGTTTAAATTTTTAATTAACCAACAACATCCACGGAATTAATTTCCCCACCACAAATTCTATTTTTCTCAATTAATTTGCGAAATGCTAAGTAAATATTGCAAAATTGCATAATTTTGTCAGAATTCGTCCGAAACTGTTGCCTCGAAAATTAAATTAATGCTTGAACCTTCTACTTGTTGATTCCTTCGGTCGATATCATTCAAGTTGGTGCTCGAAAAATAAAATCCCCCTTTAATGAGGGGTTTGGCAAGTTGTAACTCTTTGATGTTCGACGAGTGGCGTACGAGCACAATTTTCGGCTCACAGTGTCGCGAATATTGATCCTTTCCCTTTGAAACGACCCCAGCCGCCACAAAAGTAGATCATATTTTTCTTCATCCAAGTTGCTGTCATTTAAATAAACTGCAATTTTTGTAGCAGTAAACTAATTCGTTCGAAATCAATAGGAATACAATGAAATTATTTAACAATTATAATATCCAAAATATTAGCCTTTCAAGAACTCGAAGTAGCTTCTTTCTACTCGATTTTGTTCCCATAAGTTATTTGCAATCTCCAGTTAGTCTTCCAAAAAATTTGTCAAATCAATTTAAATCGTGAAGTGACGTAGAAATTCATTTTTGGAATGTTCTTCTCATAAAATAAAATATTCAGTATCGTGCAAATTTTGAAAAAGAAACGAACAATGTTCGAGAGAAAAAGTTCATTAAAATTCCATCCCTTCGACACCAGTCTCTCCAGACTCTCGAATTACAAATTAATAAACTTAAATGGTCCACGTTTCTACTAAATGACCAAAAATTATAGAAAGAGGGGAAATCTTTTTCCTCTCGCGATTCTCGACACGCGAACGGTGTGATATCTGACGTGGTCTCAACGAGGGTGCAGAGTTTCAGTGTATTACACGCGTCTCGTTATCCCAGTAGCGTTGCATCTCCCAAGATGACGTTCCAGCAGGAGCGAGTAGGGTTCAAAGGCCCAGGACCGCGCCGAAGGGGTCAAGTAGTGGGCGTCGACGAGTCTTAGAACGTGTGTATCGCGTTTACTCACAGACGGCCGGGTATTTTGCGGGGAAACTTGTAGCCACGTCCTTCCTCTCGCCTCGTTATCATCACGGCCAAAGAAGGGTTTTCGGCTTATCCGGTTGCAGGTAGCCTGCGGTGAGATGAAGGAAAGGACTAAATTACACAGGTTAAATTGCTTGTACTTCCACGGCCAGCACGCCCCACCTATTATCATCCAATTTTCTCTTCCGCGAACTAAATCTTCCGAGTTCGTAAGATCTGAAAAACTGGCGGGCACACCGTCGTCGTCGTCGTCGTCGCCGTCGTCGTCGCAGAGGGTGTGACGGTTTAACAGGGGACTCTTCGTTAGCTCTCCGTTCCACGTGTTTCCCAATTTGCACCCGTCTGTTCGACACTCAAGCGCGTGACGAGCATCCCTGATCCGTTTCACTGACTTTCACGGGGCCGGATTATTATTGATTCGTTCCACTGAAGGGGAAAGATCGAGCCAAACAGATGCACGCCAACAACGGCGATCTCATTCCACGCACGCGTCATACATCTGACGCAACATTTATCGATAAATCTGCCCCTCTCGGAATTTTTTAGAAAATTTTATTCCACTCTAAAATAGGAGAGCTCGAGTAATCGATGTACTTATATACAGGGTGTTCGACCTACCCTGGGAACAATTTTAATGGGAGATTTTAGAAGCCAAAATAACGCAGCTGTTTGATTGCTCAGATTGCTGTCTTACAGGCGGAACTTTAAACGTTAATAACTTTGTAACGAAGCCTCCATCAACAAATTGGTATTCCTGATTTTCGTCTCATTTTGACCCCTAGGGGCACCCATTAAAATTTTCCCTCGATGCGGCTGAACGTCCTGTATATATATCAACAAAGTGTCAATTTTTAATATTTTTTCCCTATTCTTTGCGTCGGTACGCTAACTGAGAAAATAATTGGGGTGAACCCAGTTTGCGCCGTTCACCGACCATAATGGGAGAGTTTTCAATGTTTTTAAAATTTATAACGAACATCAAACATTTGAAAACAAAAAATTCGTATTCATTTTCTGTTTTACAATTTAGCACGTCTTTCTGCCGAGGTATTAAACAAACGTAGTTTATAATGAAAATTAACCAACGAACCGGGGTGACATTTTCATTGAATGTATTTGAAGTAGTTTTTTACGGATTCTACGTTGGAAAAACATGAAAAGTGTACATCTCGTACCATTAATCATTTCAACTAATTTTTCGAAACAGTTGATCGAACTTTTCTCATTTCTCATGAAATAACTCAAGACATCGTTCCGTTACGCGATTATCTCTCTCGGTTGTCACGGAACAAGTATAATAAAATTAAAGGGCTCCAAAGTTCTCGGGGCATTATGTAGCATAATATAGCGCGCATTCGCTGCCGCGACAAACCGCGGGAAATTAATTAAAGGCGAAGAAACTTTAGCAAAAAAAATATTTACCTTGCGTTTGCGACGAACATAATTATTTAATGAAATCCGTGATGATGTTAAAAACCCACCCCAAGCTTTTACGATTACGATTAATCCGTCGAATCGTTTTGCCTTATATTTTATTCGTTCGTTTCGCTGTTGTGTTCCCGTTTAATAATTTCGTTCGCAATGTTATGAATATTTATAATTTCCAATGCATGATGTATGGTAAATGTGTTTATTATTTTGTTTGGTATATTTTAACGATTTTTTCTGTTTCGTTTGTTTGTAACTTTGAACGTGTGTCACGTCATTATCCCTGACAAATAAATCGATTAATTACAATTTATTTTGATTTATAATCATAGTTCCTGAGTATAGATTTTTATGCCCAAGTAAACGTTGTGTCTGTAGAGTAACATGTACACATTGGAATAAACAGTTCTCATTCATACATAAAGTCACTCAACATTCTAGAATGACAAGTGATTTGTACAGACTGTTAAACGTTCAGAAAAGCGTAATAAAAAAGTAATAAGTTCGTTCGGATTCTTAATAAATTATAATTAATTTATTTTTCCTTCAAACGTTTTCAATCAGCTTTGATTTAATAAAAAAAAATATACATAAACCTTACTTTATACTTGAAAAAGAGAAGTCAGCGAGTGCACTGATTCAGAACGGTTTAGAAATTAATACTGGCTGTATGGACATACACGTAAACACGAAATAAAATCTGGACGACGATTGATCCAAACAAAATCGGTACGAACTTATTACCGAACAGAATCTATTATTTTATTTCTCTCTCTGCTTTTCACGTTTCTTCTTTTTCTCATTTTCAGTTCACGTCACGTTTCTTTTACGTCGTTTCGATTTTTCGCGCTGTAAATTCGCCGTCGGACGAGGAACTAGAATCGAGGGTACGAACGGTTAAATTTTTAACGCAAAATAGATTAAGAAATAAACATGTTCACCATTGTTGTGACTGTGACCAAGGGATGGTTTTATAGCTAACACGTTGATTGGCCGCCTGAATTTCTAACATTGTTACCCAGTTCGTAGAAATATCTATGCTTACTACTTGATGGACGCGATATGTGGTGTTTGTTGTGCAGGAACGCCTACTACTACTTCAACTGCTACAACGAAGCTGCTGCAGAAAATGGAGAACCAAGCGCTAGACAACTCAGAGGCTGGCAATGGTGGTGGTAAGGCTTGTAAATTTCTCCTCGTCTATTCACAGCATCACCACCATAAGCCACCATCGTTCATGAGATTTGGAAACTTTGACAAGATCGATAGTGTTGTCTTTCTTGCGTGCAGGATTCCAATTCCCAAGCACTCCGACGCTCGAATTTGCTCGTAACGCCTGAAAATCGCTTTAGTACCCTGGGGCCATCGTTTCTTAGCGAAGAATCCGAAGGATTCGCTGACAAAGAGCGCACCGCGAACGATACGTTTCGTCTGTCTTGATCGTTTCCGGTGCAACGACTCGCGTCTGAGAGAAATTCACGCGTACCGTAAAACGATTACACCCTTTTCGAGGAAAAACGATTTTTAAGGCTACGCGGAAATAACAATTATCGATGGGCTTCGATAACAGTGTCAATTCTTTTAACGAACCAGAGAACATTCTTGGAGAAAATTACAGTATACTTCAATTTTTATCACGAGTGTAACGTAATTCGAGTGATTATTTATGGGGAAAGAAGAATCAGCGAATTTTGATGAAATTCTATTGCGAGGCGAGGTATCTGACGCTGTTATCTCGAGTAAATTATACGTGAAGAATTGTTGTGTATAAAAATTACGTGGTTTGAGAGTCACAGTGAGTCATGAGGCTAATACATATTTAATTGATACGTATGGTAAAAATATATACGTCGTGCAATTTCATCTTTCGAACCGTGCAAAGAACACAATAATTTTTCATAGTACCAGTTTATACTCTGTTCGAGACTAACGAGGCGCCTCGCCTTGCGTAGAGTGATTATTTCGTAACAGTACCGTACGAAGACAAAAATAAGGTAAATCGTTGATCCGTTCGGAAAAGCTGAGTTTAAAATATTTGTTTGAGAATGATAATTTAAGTTCGTTCGATCTCGAACGATGTATTTGTTTTGGAATGTATAGTGAAAACAATAGATGTAACTACAGACGAATTTTACGCTACACTAATTTAAAAAAATTAGTATACGGAGAATCATACGCGTGAGTTTCGTTTCAGAAAGAGCGTTCGCTTTTAACCACGTTTTGAACGGCTTCATTTTGGCATCGTGTTTTCTGCACTTTATCGCACATTAACACCTGTTCTGAGGCACCGTCGCTGTTCGATGTTCTGATAATGTTAGAATTGTTAGTTATAGGTACAATCATAGATACTCTGTTAAGTTTCATTGCTTGCATCTCATCTCCGATTGCTGCTACTCTCTACTTTCAATACTTTACAAGTGCATCGTGAATATAATAATCAATATTCTACGTCAATTTTACTGTAAACACAAGCATTAACATTCAACGAAATAAGGCAAATATTGACATCGTTAATATCAAGTAACAGTATCTTTATTTTATTATTTTTTCAGGTGATACGTAATTTTTTAATTACAAAATCGATACTCAGCGAGAACGAGTTTCGTCTTTATCGGCGTCTGGATTCGTCGTTCTTAAAGTTTTCGATATATTCGGATCCGACGCTTTCTGGGTACTGACAACGACCACGCGACGCGTCCTTAAATTAACACCCTCGTTCTGCATTGACAACTAAAATATTTATACGTTAATTATGGCAGGCAAATTCCGCCGGCAAAATAAACCTGCATTTGTGCAACGTGTGCACAGACAATGCAACGCAATTCCTAGACGTGGTAAATAAATAAACACTGCCGCGTTCCCTCAACAAACCCTATAATGAAACTACGTTTCTTCATAAATATTCTATCAGGAGCAATGTTTGTGTAAATCTACGCGTAGTAAACGAGGTTTGTAGAAACTACTACGTTCCTCGCAGAAACGGAATAGGAATAGGAATAATCATTAAACGAATCTATCGCAAATTGCCCTCGAAATTAAATGAAACGAAAAGTGAAAATAATATTTAACATCGTTAGTAAATAATTCTTAACTAAAATTCTTTTTTTTTACTGGACAACTAACATTATATAAATATTAATGGAAAAATAAAAAATTTTTCTGAGATAGATGTTATGAGATTAGTAAACGCGAGTTATCATTTTAATCATCGATCCTCGAGTCTCTTATTTTTCCCCTGCGAACTTCATTTCGTTCGATGCTATGAAACAAGTTCTCCCTAACGAACCGCTTTAAACGCGAATATTCGAGTCCCACGATCGATATTATCATAAACGAATCATCTGAAATCCAGTTCTCCAATCAATTTTTCATGATGCAATATTGCCAATGTTGCATTCCTCACTTCCTGGACAGAAGTCTTATTTCCTTTTAGGCTTCCGGGACAGAAAGGAGGAGTCAGCGAATTTTTGTGTAATCACCGATTTCTTTCGCGCTATCAAAGATCACGTATTTCTGTAGAGAAGAAAGACAAGATAGCAATCAAAACACACGATAAATGCAGGTTCCATTTGATACCTGAATTTCAAACTCGAATCAATCCGACGCTTTTAAATCTGAAAATCGAGTTTGAATGTTCATCGAACAGAAATATTCTAAAGAGCTTTCGTAAAGACCAATTTTTATTTAATTCGTAAAGTTGCAAGCCTTTTGTACGAGATACGTTACCAAATGCTATCCAAAAGTTTCGTTTCACTAAGAAGAAATAATTTATTTTCGAGCTATTCTCAATTTTAAAATTCAAGAAAGATTGTTAGTTTCATCGAAGGAGCAAAATTTAATTATTTAATTCGTAAAGTTGCAATCCTTTTGTACGAGATACGTTACCAAATGCTATCCAAAAGTTTCGTTTCACTAAGAAGAAATAATTTATTTTCGAGCTCTTCTCAATTTTAAAATTCAAGTAAGATTGTTAGTTTCATCGAAGGGGCAAAATGGGTATTTTAAATTAATACGCGACGAAGCAAGGAAATTTATTAACACACGATTCGACGAATTCTCAAGCCCCGATTTAATAATCGAGCTGAAGGTTAATAAACTGGTAGCGTAAGTTCTATTTCAAGGGGAAGCGGTAGTTTCTCTTGAAGCTCATCAGCTGGCATTACTAGGTTGCGCTAATAAATAGCTGAAGTTGAGGTTGCGTTAATACCTACCCCTCTTACAACACTCTTGCTCGAATTTCCTTCCGGTGATATGCTATCAAGCACTTTGCCGATGCATATCGTCTGGAATGCGTTAAAGTTTCTCAACCGCGCGTCAAAGGGAAACGGTCTTGCAACTTTCTTTCTGCGAAATTTGTAAGCTCCCCGGCTCCAAAGCAGGAACGAGAATTCTTAGGGAACTTTTATTATCGGGGGATTACGGAATTCGAACGCCGTTGGATTGAAGAATCCGGGAAATCGTTTTAACCTTTTCGCGCGGCCGACAAAGAACCTGTTAAATAATTTTCTGCGCGCCTTTGACTCCCGGAGAAACATTAATTGCCCCGTCTGCTTCCTCGACAGAACCAAACTTTTCTCTTGGAACACTGGACCTATCGATTTAAAATTCGTGTTCGTACGAAATCCTGAACAAAATGATCAGCAAAATTTGCAATTGAAAATGAAATATAGAAAATATTCTACAAACGAGCCTTTTGCTTTTCAACGAGAATCGTCGAGAAACGCTGAACATTTTGTGGTTCGTTTCTGATTACCGTTAATTTCGTCCAAAGTACATTTCAGTTTCCTTATACTTCGCCATTTTCCACGACACGACGAATTCGCGAATGAAATGCACGCCAGACAAAGAAGTTCGAAAGTTAATTTGTGCTCGTTATTAAGTTAGCACAGCCGGACGATGGTTCTAACAATGTACACTAATTAGCCATGGAAGTTAGACCTCGTTTGCATCAGATAGCAACGTCGGTGGATCATTATCATATGGATATATCCACTAACTGCACAGAATCACATGCCATTCAATTTGAACGGCCAGCTGTCTCCGTAATTATGGACGATGCAAATTCGAATTGCCAAGTATTTCTGCGCTGGAAGGAATTCCGCAATAATTTCGTCGCGTTTACACGCGTGACGCGCTCGCGGTGTCGTAAAAATGTACACGTTCGGGGCACATACGGTTCCTGCGAAACCGTTTCTTCGCGGCGGCGAAAACTCATGAAAATTCAGTGGCTCTTATGCAACGCGTTTCGTACGGTCCACACTTCTATATTTTATCCGGGAAAGAAAATATTACACTTTATATTCGCATAATTATACGCTTTTTTGCTCAGCCACGACTTACATACGTTACTCGACGCTTACGACGTATGTATTGGCTTCAAAATGTGCAATTCAAATATTCGTGGCTAATTAATGAATAAATAAATTTCTATTCTCCTGGAAAGAAGGATCACACAATTTCACGAAAGCATCGGAACGATATTAACAATTTGATATTAATATTATTTTTTAACAACTTATGTTGAATTTGATCGATGCAATGGCATGAATACATATTCTAATTAAAAGAAAAATCATATCAATAAAAATACGTGCGATCAATGCCCGTAAATCTAGTGTTAAATGCTCCAACTGGTACCATATATGGATCACGTGACTGTTTACTAAAAAAATTAATTTTCGAGATCGAATGTTAAAAAAAATAAATCTGAATTTTGAATTTTAAGTGTGGAAATAAATTCTGAAAGCAACGTTTTGTTTTCGTGGACAATTTAAGAGGTTTGGTATTTAAAAAGAAATTGGTAAGATTAATTTCTCGAATCGTTTATTTGGAGATTTTTCTGAATTTGAGGTTTTTGACTTCGGACAATTTTCTCCCGTCGTTTGAACCGAACTTTCCGAGAGATTCTGAAACTTGTTCGAAATTGCCTGCTTTAGTTTTTGAGCCGTCCTGTAGGGCTGCGGACTCGGTGGGCGATTAAATCGGCCGTCTCCGGAAAAAAGTTTCGCAATGGAAACGTTTTCCAGGGTAATGGGGGAAGCGATAGGTAAAACAAGGAAGCTCGCAAATAAGAAAGTAATTAGCCGTAGAAGGCGCCCGCGGTACGGGGGTTAATTCTTATTGCTAATGGAAGCTCCTTCTGCTGACAGGGGTGAGAGAAGAAGAGATAAATTGAAACGCCCTGGTTTTGCGGGACACACTCCCCTAATTTAAGGACATGCAGTTTACATTAGCGGACCCGTGGCTTTCCCGCGTAACGGAAGTGTCACCAGCAAAGTATCATAACGTTACGCGGCCGTGTCGCATAAACTTTTTGGCGGGATCATAATCAAAGCTTAACGGCGACCCATAAAGGAAAATGGTATCCGCAGCTATCATTTCCAACGCCGGGGATACTTTCTTGGAGGGAAACTTACCGGGACATGTTTATTGAGCTCTAACGCATCGATTAACAGTTACCTAGCATTACGCTAAAATAATAGCGTACGTAAAAGGCATGCTAATATTGATCGCGATACTAACGATAAGAAAAGGTGCACTCTTTTTTACGATAATAAATAAAAATTGGTTTTCTCGAAAGAATTCAGAGCAACGCTAATGATACAACGAGGGGTGGTTCGAGCGCCGTCAAGATAGGGGGCTCGGAAACTTTTTAACGATAGGGGAAGTCAGATTTATAGACGAAAGTCTGTAGTATTTGATTATGCCAAAATAAACTTTTTTTTAAGGTTAAGATAATCGCGGTATGGAAATGTGTAATTAGTTTTCTTTAAATAATTACGAATGTTCTAAAATATAAAAACCTGATAATTCGACGGAAATATGTAAATTTAACAATATTATCGGTCGAATGCAAGCATTACATAAAATAAAGATTGTATATGTACGAATCCAACACTCGAGATCTTCGAAATTATGCCCAAAGCTAATTCTAACGATTATCAAGTTTTTGTTGTCTTTTAAAGCAGCTTTTGATATGATTGCAGGAAATTACGCTGGTCGAATGTCAATTAATGTCCTCTTAGTCATGATGATGCATCTGGCACTTGTCAACATATTCAATTAACCGCTTAATTACTAGGTAAGATATTAACCATTCAATTTATCGATTTGTTCCGCTACTCGAACACGGTACTAAATTGTTTTACGCCGATTTTATGGGTTATCGGTAATAGAAGCACACTCTGATCTAACCTAACCCGATCTAACGAGGAATGGAGATCGGTAACGTAGAATACTCTGCTGGTAATATAGAGCACTCGCTCGGTAATGTAGAATACTTGTTACCCGTTACTCGAATTAAATTTTCCGCGACTCTGAAATTCAATCGTAATATTGAAATAGCGAAGAACGACTCGTTTTATCGACGAGTTGATAATAACGTTCGCGTTATCGGTTCCACCGTATTTCACGTACACCGTCCAATAATTTCTTCGGAGTGCATAGCGCAAACTTCTTCCAAGACGCATAATTCGTCCAGAAAACTCGAGCTATCAACACGCTCGGTGCATAGTCCCTCCACACGTTCGCGCCGGCGGTAATTTCCGAGATAATGTAGCGGAAAGATCGTATCTGGCCGCACGTTGCATGAACGTTTCGTACGATTCTGATGGCAAAATGTTTGTTTTCAGGTCGCCGCTCCGAACGGAGTCCGAAACGAGTGGTGAACGTGTGTTAAAAAGTCAGCCCGTTTCGACGTTTCGTCTTACTACGCCTAAGATACTTATCGTCAAAACACCGTGTCCCCGCGTTTAAATGTTGTTTCACAAGCGCCCAGACACACATGCATCGAAGTTCGGTCAACGTTCGTGTTCATCGTTCAGCACGAGGGGGGGGGGGAATCCTGTTTATAACTCTGCCTACATCGTACGCGCTGTTTAGAGTGTTATTTGTACTCATAACGAAGAAAAATTTTTAGATTATCGCGGCCGAGGTCGACGCGACTCAAACCCAGACAGGGGTTTTTAGGCAAACTGTTGTACGGGGTCGGCTGTTTTTAAAATAAATCGTCAGGGGAGTGGCGTGTAAATAATGTTCAAGATTTGATCATACATATGTATATTACAGTTCGAGTCATAATTGTAGACTGTGTTTGTTATACTCTTCGTGTTACGTCAGATTCATAATATATTGTTTAAACGTATAAGATGTATGGAACTTTACATACACGATACACACAACAGATATGATATATTATATAAATATATGAGGGGGAAAAAAAAGTGAAGGCCGAACGGATATATATATATTGACTATACGTAACTTGAATGTGTAATTATTTTAATATGTGTAAATAGCTGCGACAATATGCTGTATCGAAGTGCAAATGTCTATGACGGAGTATTTAGAAAAAGAAGATAGTGATAACATCCTTGATCAGGAAAATGAGAAATTGGGAAATCGAACGTATTCTGCGACAAGACGACCAACTATTGCGTTTTTTTTTTTTTTGTATCGCGGAGAGAATATTTCCGCGAGATACGAAAACATCCGAACGGAGAACGTAACGCGAAATCGAAGACGATTTCGGTACGTTTGGAACGTCACGTTGGCGAGGTCTACGAATTTAATTTATTAATTAATTTAATGGAACCACCAAGTTGCTCAGGCATTCTCGTTTTAATATATTTTAATTAATACGATAAAATGACCAAGGATTTAGACTAATACTCGTATTAGTTCCCCTGTGGCTGTTCTGTGAATTATAATACCAAAGATAATCTAAGAAGTGCCTGAGCAACCGGAAGTTGAACCAGTGCGCACCAAAGTTTAATCGACTTAGGCCTAATATACATGTTATTTTTCGCTACTCGCACGCTACTCGACTAATCGACGTTTACGAAAGGCGCTAGTCTACAAGGAAAGCGACGTTTGTTTCCCGAATGGGAGAAATTTTGTTTTTGTACATCGAACGAATCCGGCGGAACATAACCTATCAAAATGTTGTACGTTATCGCGCGAATGTTAATCGACCACCTGGCATTATCGATAATCACCGTTACGCGAGCGCGGGAAATTTGAAATCACTTCCGTAACCGGTAAATCGAAACGAGAAAGAAATTATAGTAGACGTTATAGCTGTAAATAAATTGTCCTCTGGTAGCACTTCTAGTCGTTCGAACAAATGCCTATCAGATCGAAGAGAAACGAAAAATGGAGCGATGTCTGTAATTTAATTTCGTGTTCGGCATCCGAGAATTCCGATTATGTATACCGACGCTTGTAAAAAGGTTTTCGTGTTTGTAAAACTAAATACATTCTGTACCAAAGAAATCTCTAAACGATGTGTCAGTATTCTATGTTCCACAAAATGTCCCTTTCCTACAAACTATCCTAGAAATCTCTGAATAATTTTAATTACGAAAATATTCCTTACGATTGTAAGTAAGAGATCATTTTATAAACATTTTAACTTCTATCGACTCAAACGTTACGCAAAATTAATTAATTTCATAATCAATAATTAACGAGCTGATCATGTGCGATAATCACAGTTGCTTTGATTATTACTCGTTAACTATAATCATTGATTACACACCAATCATATTCAATAATCAATGACTTGATTGTATGGTAATTATTATCATTAATCAGTGATTTGATTGCGCGGTAATCATCACAATCGTTAGTCATTGAGAGGTTACATGAATATGGCGGTTGAAAAGAATTTGATCGATCAATCTGGTTTGATCTAACTTTACTTTGAAGCAACTGTCTTACATAGACATTGGCCTATGTAACAGTGTGGATGCATGGAATTTGCAACCCGAAAGCGTACTAGTAATTCGTGTTCTGTGTGAACGCGCCAATTAAGCGTATTCCGATCCTGTGCCCATGGGGGTCATGTCTGCAAAGCTCAAATGGGCACAAAATACCCTAGACTCCCACAACGAATTATTAGAAACACTGTTCGATTATCGAGCTTTGTAATTCTATACAAATATCATAACTAAATATTATTTCAAATAATATATAGATTGAAATTAACGTGGATCGTCTGAGAGGTTTTTAAAAGGGTGCCCTAAATAGAAAAAAAGCTCGAGATTCCTACATTTAGTGTCTCACGACTTGCAGTAACGACAGTTTTCGAACGACTATCGAATGTCGATTGCCCTACTGACGAGTCCATTATCAGACTCCGGCTTAATTTATTTATTTTTATTAAGGACACGTGAAACGAAAACAACCACCTAACGGCGAGACGACCAAGGTTACAATGAAATAATTTCCATTTTCACCGCAATATGGTGGGCAGAGAGTTTTGAGTTGTAGCAACGATCGATAAACCAGTCTTTTAACTGTTTTATACCATCGAGGAAAATAGAAATTAGTAACATTTCATTCTCAATCAGTATCGAAGTTCCTCGGTGAGCTGATTAATAAAAAATCGACGTGATTCAAAATGACTGACCTAGGAGGAAACGTCCTACCGAGATGGCGTTGTTCGAGTACCATTCCTCGATAATCGAGCAGTGTATTTTGGATAGGGATTGAATACAGACGAGGTATCGTCTGTGGGTGAAGGTCTACTCGTATACCTTGTAGACTTTCGCGACCCAATCTGACTGCCATACCGACCTGAAAATTCGGAGGTGATTTTAGCGGCCTCATCTCATAGATAGCGATCAGTGTATTGAATTAGAATTGATAGGCAGACAGCAGTAGTGTGTGCGTAAATACATGTGAGTTGACTATGGAAAAGATTAGAATTAATTTTTGAATCTGTGTGTAATGTTGCGAATGACACGAAAATGGTAAAAATGGGCCGAAAAAATACATTATACCTCGTCTCTGACAACACTCTAGAATCTTTGATGAATCGATGAGAATCAAAACTAACTTAGCTAAGAAGCTCTATATTTATGATGACCTATGCAAAGCGGATCGCAGCCAATTTACTAATATTATTTAGTTTTCAATTAATAATTGCATTACCCAGCCAAGAGCGATACGATTATTAGTTAAACGCTAAATAATATTACCCAGGTCTCACCACGTGGAGGTTGCTGCGAGTGGAGACCCGAAGGGAGATAGATGGAATCAAAGTTCCAACTATCTCCCTTTTAGCTAAGCTTAGCTGGATTACTAAACTAGAGAGATAGAAGGAAGCAATGTTCCTTCGAAAATCAAACAAAATCAATATTTCCATCAACCGGTACTCAGAGACATACAAGTAAATTTAGCATCAATAAAATAAGAGAGGCGGAAAATTTGTATTTTCATTTTTGACAAATTTTTTGGACGATTTACACATAAATAGTCTAGTACGTCACTATAGGTACCCATGGGATGTATTTCAAGCTCCGATTAAAAAAATAATTATAATAAAATAACATTTAATTTCATCAAAAATTTCAATACCTTTAGGAATTTTTTTCTTATAATCTATATACATTTGTACTTATATTCTAACGCAATCTGTAGAAACATGAAGAAATATGAAGAAATATTTTCTTCTTGGTGTCTTCATCAATCCCACGATGTTTTTCTAAAACATACACTAATATACAATAAATTATAACCGACATGAAACAAAGAAATACGACAAGATATTTTCTTCTTGGTGTCTTCGTCACTCCCACGATGTTTTCCTAAAACAAAAACTCATATCCAATAAAATATATAACTCATATAAAACAAATAAATATGAAAAAATATTTCTTCTTGGTGTCTTGATTAATCCCACGATGTTTCCCTGAAACATAAATCAGACAATAAATAAAATTGTACAAAAAAACTAACTACATCAAGCTACTTCAAACTACAATAGAGTGGCACATATGGGGATGAAGTTAGACGTTTTAAATATCGCAACACTACGGGGCAACAACGCGATAAATCAACAATCGCAACGCTAATTTATAATAGAAAAAATTCCAAACGCGACTTGTAAGAATAAAAGCAACCCGCGAATGGTAATTATTCGCAACGCTACCCTGAAAAGCAAACGCGAAAAATAGTAATTCGCAACTCTAATTCGCAATCGCGTTTACTAAAAATTCGCAACGCTATTTTGAAAGCAAACGCCCGGATCCTAGGTTTGCATAAAGGCAATCACGAATCGTATTTATTCGCAGCACTGATATATCAACGCGATAAATATTTGTTCGCAACTCTACGAGCAAACGCGAACATTGTATATTATTCGCAACTCTAACTTTAATCAGGGGCTATTGGTACATGTACATAGACATGTACTGGTCACAAAATAAACTAACTACTACTAGTACTACAATTCGGGTAGAATTTGGGCATTGAAAATATCGCAACGCTAAATAAAAAATCGCACGATTAATCAAGATCGCAACGCTAATTTATAACGTGAAAATTACAAACACGGTTGACATCCATTATTATATATATAAAAGAGTAAAAAAGCAACGCGAATCGTGATTGTTCGCAACACTACCCTGAAAAGCAAACGCGAAAAATAGTATTTCGCAACTCTACGAGCAATCACGTTTATCAATAATTCGCAACGCTATTTTTAAGCAAATTCGGTACCTAAGTTTGCAAAAAACCAATCGCGTATCGTGTCAAGGCGCAACACTACCCTGAAAAGGAAACGCGAAAAACAGTGATTCGCAACTCTACAAGCAAACGCGATTATTGCATATTCGCTACTCTATGTATATCATAACCGCGAGTTATGGGGACGGATGACTGGCATGTATGGTGCAATCATGTACCATCAGGTACATGCATACGTGAGCGAGTCAGAAAAATAAACTAACTACAACTACAGACGAGTTAAGTGACAAAATAGTAACAGGAATGACTTTCCATTCTCATCCGAGGATGAAGATGAAAAGCCATTTGTTGCAGCCCACTCTTGAGACAGTTTGTCAGGGCCTCTTCGGCTCATTGAGAGCCTTTTCTTTCTTCGGCGGTCCTGCCGATGCCTGAAACTTACGAAAGACCGGGCTCTAGATTTTGTGCAATACGTAGTCTTCCAACAATATACGAATTGTTGCAAGAGCATACGTGGTGAATCTCGAGCGGGACGAACGTTTCGAAAGGAACCTAACCACGACCGCGAGCGCGAGAGAGCGACTTTAAGAGTCGCGCGATTCGAGGAGTCGAAAATAAAGCCGAAACAAACAGCACAAGTGCACCGTTTGAATCAGCAACATTTCTACTCTCGAAATCGTAACTACAGGAACAGAACTGCCACGCGAAAACGCGCCTACCCGAATTACTAATGTGGACAGTCCTGCCCTGACCCTACCTACTTAGGTTTAAACACACACACCAGAGAATAAGTTACCTACCTACCTAACCCTATATTTAAAAAAATGCAAAACTCAGTCTCTGAAACAATCACTCCACGGTCCTCATTCTCAATGTCCGGGCGCAACCTAAACTAGAGAGGACTCCCCGGGGTTCCTCCGACACCCGAACATAACTGACTTCATTCACACTCTAATTGTGTACGTACCAGTTTTTGCAGTGGACTGACAAAGCTAGTGCCCATTGCGTACTTTTATTATTTATGTAAAACATTTTAATATATCTGATATAGTCTTTATTAAAAATATGATCATATAAGATTGAAAAGCTAACTCATTATGCATTTTACAATATTATTGACGCGTATGCAATACGAACAATTGCCAAGTAAATAATAACTATAAGTTTAATATCATTATTGTGATTGTTATGAATCTAATGTCAAAAAATTCTGTATCTGAATTGTAATGAACTTTTGATACGATGCACTTCCACAACCTAACCACAAACACACATATGTGGACAGTACATCGTGCACGAGACACTAGCATTGTCAGTCGCACAGATAAATTATTATTATAAATGTTACAAACTAAGTCATCGTGCCCCGTTGCCTTCGCTCGTGCAAATAACACTTGGGCATGTGCATGAACTTAGGCAACGAACACGGAAAAGTATCCTGAAAATCCTGACTAGAACAACTGGTTATTAATAATTAACTAAACGGTATCTATTCTCAATTAAAATGACTCGACTTATTATATGTAATATATCAACAACAGAGTACGTTAATATTGAAAGCTATTATTATTCAAGAAAAATTTGTGACTGAAATTTAATTGTTCAAAATGTAAGACTTTAATAAAGATTTCATGATAAAAGAATTTACTTTGCAAATTGAAATAAATTTGTTAAATTACTATTCAAAATATTCAATTAACCTTGGTCGATTCTGTCGTCAAAGTAAATTTTTAAAAAAATAAAATTAACATGCATGTTCCTTTGAGTTGGAAATCGACCAGTCGCGAAACGCC